TGCTTCTGTTGTCTCTAGAGAAGAACAGGAACACAAAGAAATTATAAATGTGGCTTATTTGGTAGAGTTCATTGTTAGAGGGCTATGATGGTCTAATGCAGGGCTTATCAACCTCAGCACTGTTGATATTGGGGGCTGGATACTTCTTTCATGTGGAAAACTTTCCTGCACATTGCAAGATGTTGGGCAGCATCCTGGCCTCTACCCACTACATACCAGCCCCAGTTGTAACATTCAAAAATATTACCAGACAATGGATGGACAACAAGGTCCTACTGTATAGCACAGGGAACTACAGTCAATGTCCTGGGATAAACCATAATGGAAAAGAATATAAAAAAGAACGTGTATATATGCATAACTAAGTCAGTTTGCTGTGTAGCAGAAATTAACACAACGTTGTAAATCAAGTGTACTTCAATAATGTGTATATTACCAGACATTTCCACATGTCCCATGGGAGATAAAAAAAATCATTCCCAGTTGAAAACCACTGGTTTCAACCTACACATTAAACCATCACGGACAGAAGTCTGGAAGTAAGAGTTAGGTGGAGGCGAATACTTGATCTCATATTTAGAAAAGTTTGGACCTGCTCCTATGCCACAATGAGTCAGAAAGAAGGGAATTAGTTTGTTCTGTGACCATAAGGGTATTTTATATCAAGACCTGAATTTTATCCCTTCTTTATAAGGATTCCTCTAGAAGCACAAATTTATATAAAGCCATATCTTTTCAATTTTTCCCTTTCGGTCATGAAGAGCATAAAATCTCTGGCAAGGATTTTTTAAATAACACCTTGTCTAGTAAAGCTTCAAATGCATTTTTAGTAGCACAGAGGTATGTTAGTTCATAATTTAGTAGTACAGTCACTTTTGCTGTAACAGCACGTGTCTTCCTAAAAATCGCCTCTCTGTGCAAAATTGGACAATGAAAGCATGGGGCTTTTGTGGAAAATGGGTTTAGGGGCACAGCACTAAAAAACCTCATTAGTAACACATAAAAATAAAGATAGGAACCTAATGAAAGTGGTAGCACAGTTTCACACATATTAAATGGTTAGAAAATACAAAAATACTACATATACTCTCTGCGTTGAGAAAGCCCTGCAGTTTGCTTGTGGAAATGGAATTGGAAGGGTTTCAGCTTGTGAATTATTGGGAACTGTTGGAAGTAGGGAGTTGTGAAATTAGAAAAAGTTGTATCACTGCATGTGGATGGGTGTGTTTCATACAGCAGGCAATGAACTGAAGTAGCTGGTGGACGTTTGAGGGTGTGCAGGTGTGTGATTTGTGTGCTCCTAGGGGCTGCATCATCAAGGTGCAGTTTCTGCACTCACCTAGACTTTCTCATGGACAGGATCATGCATAAACAAATGCAGGATTTATGTGACACTCATTGTTCCTTAATATATGAATTGAATTGGAACATACTTCTACATGGATGTTATAGGAAAACTGATGGTACTGTTGATCTGAATTTTGAGGCCCTTCAAAGGAGGAGGAAAAAAAAAATTTGGACTACAAAAAGGATGACGAGTGTAGGATGAAAAGACACACTTTGTAAATAATGCTGGGGACAAACTGGTAGAATTGAAGGCTGGAATCTTGTCTTCCCTGCCCCCTCGTGGCCCTAAGCAGTCACTCCTCTTTTGCACCAAGGAAGGTGGTCATGACATGATACCTCGGCCAGCCACCTCCCACAGTGCCCAGTTGCTGTGTGTATTAAAGAACTCATGTATTATGCACTAAAAGAATCCTGTGCGTTAACAGAGATAGCTTTTTCCTTATGTTTTCAAAGGTTCATTTGAATTTCATTTACATTTCTGTCATTTAATGGCACTCAGTATGCTTTTAACTCATATTTTTAGTTTCTGTAATTTAGAAATTATGTTTATCCCTTACCATTACAGTACTTAAAAATGCAACATTAGTATAAAAATGAAGTGTAAATGCCAACATAATAAGAAGGAATGGTTTTGAAATTTTAAAATGTGTATAAAAATAGATTTGCACAAGAGCAGTGAGAATTGACAATCCTATCAGATAGTGGAAAATTACGACATTTAAACAGTTAAGACTGGAATTTGGTTTGGCTGATATTTTGGTTTGTCATACTCTTAATTTATTTTAATTCATTTATAACAAAATGATTAGAAAACATTACTCTGATTCTTTATTTGCTAAGTATGTTGTTTTATGAGAGATGACAATTTTGTAACTAAACTAATTGCCTATAAAATCTCAGTCTTCTGAATTTGGATTTTATAGAAACCTAGTAATCTTGAATGACTATAATTTAAGTCAGAACAAATGAATAAACATTTCAGAGGACTTCTGTGTTTATGTTACAATTAGGTGTACATAGTAGGAAAGATTATTTCTTTCGTTAGAGAACAGCAAAAGGCTTTCATGTTAGGGTATCCTTCTAAAATGAATTTTTATGTCAATTTAATATCATAACATTAAAAGAAAACACATTGGGTACTTCGGAAAAGTAAAAGAACATAAATATGTTCATTTTTCATATTGGTTTTAGTCACTGAACTTTTAACTAAGAGAATGCTAACATTTTTATTTAGTTAGTTTTACTTTAAGACATTGTGATCTTAAAAGTACTTGGACAGGGCTTGCCTGGTGGTGCAGTGGTTGAGGGTCCGCCTGCCGAGGCAGGGGACACGGGTTCGTGCCCCGGTCCGGGAAGATCCCACATGCCACAAAGCGGCTGGGCCCGTGAGCCATGGCTGCTGGAGCCTGTGCTCCGCAGCGGGAGAGGCCACAACAGAGAGAGGCCCGCGTATGGAAAAAAAAAAAAAGTACTTGGACAATAAAAATGTCAGTTTCATTGAAATAGCATCCACTTTCAGGGAAAAGAATGTTTGTGTGCTCCTTTTTTTTTTTGCAGTTTGTTTGCCTGCAACCCTGTTTCCTTGTCTAATGGGTACTCAAGTCTACTGTTTCTTATCCCAGTAACCGTTGCAGGGCCGTGTTGTTATAATTTACAGCTTCTAGAATATTAGGATTAGAGTCTGCTATATTTCTTCTAGACAAGATGACATATCATAGGAAAATAATACAATAGGGGGTTGTTTTATTTTTTCAATATTGGTTTTTATAAAAAGAATTTTTATATTTCTGTTCTATCTTCCACTCAACCAACTCCAGCTTTTTAATGCTCCTCCCCAAGAAGACACTTTAAAGAAAAAAGATGCTATCTTCCAGTTTTCATTATTAAGGTGTCTAATCTCTATAACAAATTTACTCCCCTTCTTCCCCACAGTGTTTTATTCTGTTAAGACATGAGAATTTACATACCTTGACACATTCATGGTATTCATCACATTTGGGTACTTCATCGTTTTCCACTTATCTCCAGAGGCTGTACTTTCTTAGTTATTCTGTTATCAATTCATTGCTTATTACATAAACTGATTCCCCATTATGAGACTTTAGGTTTCCACTGTTGTACTTTTTTTTAATTTGAATTTTATCTCACTTATTACTATTGTACTTTTTTAAAATCAACAGTTAAAATAAAGTCACTTGCATACTTTCTATGTAGTGAAAATATCACCACAAATAAATATCTAAATCCACCACCTCTTAACACCTTTGGACTTTAAAGTTGCTATTGAATGTGTTTTGTAAAAGAAAAAAGCACCGCAAAAGGCTGATAATTTAGTAGTCTTGTAAACAACAGTTGGTGTAATAAGCACCAATTAACTAAAGGATTAACAGAAACACATTATATTCCACCAATCATTCCGTTGTCACAATAGTCAATATATAATTTTTTTTAACCGTATACCTTTTCTTTTATACGATTTTAGTTTTATTTAATAAAGTTTTAGTACTTGAGTAACCAATAAAAATAATATTAGTGAAAGTTCAGATTTGGAAAAGGAACTTAAGTATCTGAAGTGTGCCGGAAAGTTTGTGGCCTCTGGTTATAAACGTCCTACAATACAGATCACATGTAATAATCTTTTAAGATTAACAAAGCAGCATTCAGTACAACATCTTGACAATTTTCTCCATAATGAAAGTAAGTTTTCTAAGATCTAGCACACCAGTGATTGATCTTCCTTACAGGTCGCTTTGTGGTATGTTACCAAACGGGAAAAAAATATTTGTTTACAAATGATGTATATTTTTTTAGTATATCAAATGTATACTACATATTATTTTGGGCATCTGGTATTTTTGGCTTAGATAAATAGTTAGGGATTTTTCTCCTCTCATTTCTAGAAAACAATAGGAAGCCTAAAGGTCTTATTCTCCAAAAACTAGTCACTCTTTAATCACACCAGATTTTTTTTCAGCAAACATAATAAGTAGATTTTTCTTTGTTTGTTTTGTTGTTTGTGCATTTCATTTAAGATTTTTGTTTTCTCCTTCAGATTCCATTTTTCTATAGCATACTTCAGGTATCATAAAAATCAATCCCATTACATTATTTATGTAAAGATTCCTTTGTGAAGCCAAAACACCATAAATTATTGCTCTTCCAGTGGTACTATATTTTAATGTGCCAGTGCCCATCTGGTAGTACTGTTAGATTAATTTTTCCATACATGAATTTGGCATTAGGTTTCTGTAACGTACCTAGATTGGGATACCAAATAATGAAGGTAGGTGGATACTCATACTTTTCTGTGGCCCACCTGTCACGTAAGATGCAATGATTGTGGAGTCAGATCAACTTACTTTGGTTTATACAATAGAAGAACAAATTGAGGTCATACTGGCGGTGGGCATGGGGTTGGGAGTGATGAGTCTAGCTGTACTGTAAAACTGTAAGTAACATTTACACAACCGTGTACCCACGGTAGATAGTAGAAGAGGTTATGTAGGAGTGTCAACACCTGGGGGTTTGAATTGCATCTCCTTTATTCACTAACTTTAATGTTGCTATAAAGAAATGGCTATTTTGCTACCAGGATTTTTTTTAAAGTTTGTGGTAATAGCACGTACGTTTTCTCTTATTCTGTTTTCTTCCAGCCATAATGAAAGGAAAGTGACCTGTAAACATCCAGTCACAGGACAGCCATCACAGGACAATTGTATTTTTGTAGTGAATGAACAGTAAGTAAAGCGTTTCATGGAATGCCTCTGTTCAAAATGGGGTTAGTCTAAGTGTCCATCGACAGATGAATGGATAAAGAAGATGTGGCACGTATATACAATGGAATATTACTCAGCCATAAAAATAAACAAAATTCAGTTATTTGTAGTGAGGTGGATGGACCTAGAGTCTGTCATACAGAGCGAAGTAAGTCAGAAAGAGAAAAACAAATACCATACGCTAACACATAAATATGGAATCTAAAAAAAAAAAGTGGTTCTGAAGAACCTAGGGGTAGGACAGGAATAAAGATGCAGACGTAGAGAATGGACTTGAGGACATGGGGAAGGGGAAGGGTAAACTGGGACGAAGTGAGAGAGTGGCATGGACATATATACACTACCAAATGTAAAATAGATAGCTAGTGGGAAGCAGCCGCAAAGCACAGGGAGATCAGCTCGGTGCTTTGTGGCCACCTAGAGGGGTGGGATAGGGAGGGTGGGAGGGAGACGCAAGAGGGAGGAGATATGGGGATGTATGTATATGTATAGCTGATTCACTTTGTTGTACAGCAGAAACTAACACACCATTGTAAAGCAATTATACTCCAATAAAGATGTTAAAAAAAATGGGGTTAGCATTGAAATTGCTGTTATCCATACTTAATACAGTATGATTTAACAGTTTTCTTATCTGGACATTTGCAGTCAAGTATAATAACAGAATGCCGTCTGTTTACTATGTATGGTATAGAAACATGACTTAAATTTTTTTTTCATGAGGAATGTAATTCCAGAAGCTGTTTTTACAATAGCTCAGACACAGATAGTAAACTCAAGAGCGCAGGATGCAAGGTCAGGGAAAACTTGGTCAAATTATTAAACTAATTTGAGCTTAGTTTTCTTATCCTTAAATCAGAGGCAGTGGCGATTACCATTTCTAAGGGTTTTTATGAGCATCCAATGAAATATGTGTGAAAATAGTTTATATACTATAAATTTGCTCACAGAAATTAGTTATTGGTATCATTGTTGTTGTTTTCTTTTCTTCTTTTTTTTTTTTTTTTTTTTTTTTTTTTTTTTTTTTTTTTTTTTTGGCCTCGCCCCGCGGCTTGCGGGATCTCAGTTCCCCAACCAGGGATCAAACCCGCGCCCTCAGCAGTGAAAGCACAGAGTCCTAATTACTGGACTGCCACGGAATTCCCTATCATTGTTACTGTTTTCATTATTAGAATCGCTAATCTTGTAATTAAATTTTTAATGTTCCAGTTAGATGACCAAGTAGCATATCTGTATTAAGGCTTATTAAAATAAACATGATATTAAGTTGTGCTTAATTATTTTTAAAGTAGTTATAAATGTTAAGCTCCAACTCTGGAGCTTACTAAGCTCTAACTAGTACCTAGCTGTTTTGAAAAAGTCAGACACCAGCATTGTTAACTCTAGGGAAATGTTATTGTACAGTAGTTTACATAAAGAGCAAGTTCTAGCGTTCTGGCATATTATATTTTCAGGACCGTTGCAACCATGACATCTGACGAAAAGAAGGAACGACCTATAAGTATGATAAATGAAGCTTCTAACTATAACATGACTTCAGACTATGCGGTGCATCCAGTGAGCCCTGTAGGCAGAGTAAGTTATTTTGCTTACTGTTAATTATTGATAACTGGTATAATTGGTAATATCTATTACTGTTACTCTTAATGGGGACTTAGAATTTTAGAATAATCATTTCATTTTTATTATTATGTGAACCTAATTACGTTCGAGGTAATTGACATAAGAAGCAGTGGCTTAGAGTATAAAGTAATAAGCTTGTATTTTAATAATTTAATGATTTTTTAAATATTGTAGAGTTCAGATTTGGAATAATTTTACAAATGTAATGGATGTTTGTGTGAGAAAATGGAAGTTTATTGAATCAACTTAAGTTTTAATGGTGAAGATTCATATAATGGCCTAGAATTCCCATTTTCTGACTATTAAGTATACCTAGAATAATATATATTCTATCATATTATACTGTTTCTTTAAACTGTAAAATCTTTTACTGCTAAAGGGAAATTCATCAAGCCACTGTGCCTGATGACTGATGTGTTTAGAACCCATGATGTGAAAAGTGCCATAGCCACATGGAAACAGTAGTGGGTGGTTTTTCTTTGTAATCAGAAACAAAAATGTTAATTGTTTCATCTCTAATCCCAGACTTGTGTGTCTATAAAAGTTTGTAGTTATTGCTTCTTGTACTTTAAACCATAACGTTAATGTTTTAAATTTAGAATTTTAATATTAAAATGTCTTCAAACTCATAGAAAACCTGCTGCTAAATCTGGATAAATAGTTGCCGTAACGTTAATGCTCAGGTCCTAAATTAAGGATAGCAAGAAAATCAAGGGATGATAAAAGAATTTTCTTTATTTAGAACATAATTCTGTATTTTATAATAGTAAAACAATTGTAATAGTAAATTATGGTTATTGTAAAGAAATGGGTAATAGACAATTATCTATTTTAAATGCCTGGTAAGGTTTTTTAAATGAAATATTGTAGAATATTACAAGTAAATATAAATTTTCAAATAATGTAAATTATTTCTAATTCTTGTATAGCATAAAACACTAGCAGGATAACACAGCACTATAATGCTTGTAAATTTATACTAATTAAAATCTAGAAAAATGACTTACTGGTTGAGGGCCAGTAAGTCATTGTCTGTAAAGAAGGTTGGAGCCGTTCCTCACACTTTACACCCAAAATTTTCCAGATGGATCATGTGTTAAAGCAGTAAAAACAAAACTCTAAAAGCAGTACAGAAAACAATGGAGGTTTTTTTAAAATAAACTCAGAATGCAGATGGGCTGTCTGAAATATGACATAAATCCCAGAAGTCAAAATAGAAAATGAGAAATCCAACCACAGAAAACTATCATGCATGCATAATATCTGTAATTTATATGATAATTAAAGAAGTATACTGGAGTAGTTATTATGTATGCAGTTATTTGAGGGGGGAAAAAAAGAGATATTCCATAACTATGAAAAGTTATTCAGATGGATAGACACATATATACACAGTGGTATCAGTCGCCTCACAGGGTCGTGTTTGGGTTGTTTGGGTGCTGGGGTCCAGAGGTGAGAAGTAGACTGGTCCTTTTGTATCTTTTTGTAACATTTGAGATTTATACTGTGTTTAAGCATTATATGTTCAAAAGTAAATTAAAATGTATCCCCCCAAAATGGTTGATATCGGGCCTTAAAATTCTATTATGTACTGATACAAGCCTCATAAAAGGAGATTCTAATGTAATGTGCTAGATTTCCAAAGATTCTAGATAAGTCGAAAAATAAGAGATAAATTGATATTACTTACCTTCATAGAGAAATTCAAATTCAGCTTCTTTGTCTTTTTGTTTGTTGGTTACTGCTATCATTCCCACCAAGATAAAATGTTCACAATAAACACAGCAGTATTTTTAAAGATTATGTGTACTTTTAAGAATATGGTAAACACCATCTGTCTGGTAGTATCCACGTTCAGAGTTTGTCCGTAAAGAAGAAAACACTACATGACGTTAAGCAGATCCTTACAGTCTTGTTTTGACTTGATGTGATATGTTTGTTTCTATTTTATCTGTTAGATTTGCTCTTGTGACGTGGCACTGTTAACTTTCTTTAATTGGAGCAATACGATTAAATGCAGATATAAATCAAAAAGTGCTGTCATTTGGTTTATTCTTTAAAATGTGTTAATATTATTTTTACTCAAGGTTCCTTCTATTTAGCCGGTAGTGCCACACACTGTGCCTTTTTAAAAATTGTACACGCAGATTTTAAAGGAGAGAGATGTGTGATCCTTCCGTAATATCCTAGAGGAGGAAAAGTCTTTGTAAAGAATTCTTACATTTGAAACAACTAAGACACACACAAAAGTGGAATTGCAGTAATTCATCTGAAAAGATTAAATCCTGGAAGTTTCAGAGAAATCTGAAAAGAGATTAAAATTATGAAGATGGAAAATAAACTCAATATCTAGGCATTAATACCACATTTTCTGTGGGGCTTTTTTTTTTTTTCCTTAGACTTCACGGGCTTCAAAAAAAGTTCATAATTTTGGAAAGAGATCAAATTCAATTAAAAGGAATCCTAATGCACCTGTGGTCAGACGAGGTTGGCTTTATAAACAGGTATTTTTTTTTTCCTATTTGATGTGAAAAAAGGACAGAATCAAAAGGGACCTTTTCTGCCGAAGGCAACTAAGACAACTGTATAGAGTGGAGAAAGAAGTGTAGTGGTCATCCAGATTCTTCACTTCTTATTACCACGGAGAGAGTTAGGGGAACAATGGAGAAAGAAAAAGTAATAGATGTTACTTAGAGATATTGTAGACGCGGGTGGGCAGGTATTTCTAAATTTGAAATTAAATATATGCTGCCTGAAAATGTTAGGAACAGCATGCTAAAATTATCTAGGCAGAAATATTTCTTAAACGAAAAAAAAACAGAGGTACATTTTTCTATCCTATAAAAATCATTGAAGAAATGTAGAATTATGTACTTCTCTGCTTTAACTTACAGAGAAATCTGATCATAAGTTGAGATTTTTCTGATTTTTTCAGATTTTTGCTTCTGTGCTCTCAAGACCGCTCTGTTAAGTGTCTGTACTGTTTTTTCTTTTTTTTGTTTGTTTGATCAAGCCTGGGTCACTCAGATACCCTGATAAGTTGGGGTTTGTATAGTTCTGTTACCTGGGAAACCTGGTAACTAAGCTTTTTTGGAACATTGTTGTACGTTTTGGAATTAGTAGGGATGCATGTACGTTGGACTTGGTGACCTCTATTTGGGCTGCTCAGAGGCTTTTGTATTCTTTTTCACTTTCTGGTTTGCAGCTGGGTTTCAGATAAATGAACTCCAGATAACTGAGATAACTCAGCATTCAAGACCTTTATCTTTCTTTGTCCTGTCTCTCTGATTCTACATGTATACAGATGATGCAGAGCAAGTTAAATATTAGTTCATTGATAGTGTTAATTTATTCTGTCAAATATTGCTAATTGCTTTCAGATGGCCTAATAATTATATTCATTAAAATTCATAATGACTTTGTTACGAAACATTCATTACACCTTGCTCTGTCTGAAAGTTGGGTGGCAACTAAACTACTGTATTGGCAGAAGACCCACTTAAAATCCAGAGAGTTCCCATTCAGATTAGTTTCGCCAGCTTCTTACTGAGTTGATTGCGTATGTAACTTGGATACCAACTTTTCATTTTTACTTAAAGATCATTTACTATATTTTAACCATCTGACATTTAAACTTATCCAAGCTAAAAGGTTTTTTTTAACTAGACTTTCTGAGTCCAAATTCTATTGAAATAGCTCCGTGTGATATTGAGCTTTATAGAGGATATAGGATTCCTTAATTTAAATGATTGCTGTTCTTATTTCTTGATCACTTGGTTAATTTAGTATTGTCAAAGTGTTACCAACCAGTTTCTCTACCGTGAGTATTTATTTTGTAATAGGTGTGTGACTTACAGAGAATATTTGTTTGTAGAGCCGCTTAAAGATCTAAACTTTTTAATTATCTGTACTAAAGAGATAATTAATTAGGAGATTGAAAATACCATGTAATTTGGGAGGGCAGGGGAGAGCTTTCCTTAGTGTAGCTGTCAATTTTAAGGACAGATCCCTTACTTCAGGAGATTTTTACCCATATAATTTCTTCAGTTCTAAAGGCATTTTTAGATGATAGTCACAGCTAGAAGTAAATTAAGAAATATAAATCAATGCACATACAAACTGACCTCTTTTTTGCCTTTGTGTGTGTGTGTGTGTGTGTGTGTGTGTGTCTCAGTCTGGGTCTGGGTCTGTGTTTCGTTTTCTCTTGTGGTTTTGCTCTAGTGCATGTGGGAAGGTAATTTTCATTAAAATTGTGATTTTGTTTGAGCTTGGCATTTTTATTACCTAAATAACTTAGAAAAAGCTGCCAAGTAGGTACTCTTTAATGCTGGATAAGCAAAACCCAAGCTGTTTGTGTAAGAAGAAAAAAAAGTTTATGAAATATGTTTATATGCTAAGGTTCCTTTATTCGCAGTCATTTAAAATCACATTACCTTTGGAATAATTTCAAATCACATACTTTTCTTCTTGTTGAAGATTAACATATTTATTAAATCTGGTTTTCCAGAATGCACACACTGCTGCACAGTTACATTATTCTCATGCTAGCAGACGTGTTCAATAGAGTGGATTTCAAATTGCTTGTAAATATGAAACCAAATCACATTGCTTCAACAGAATTCCTTTTACATGACAGTATTACTCTTCAAAGACCAGTGTACTTGGGAATATCTTAATATGATACAAGAAAAATAACCCAAAATTTTGCTTAGCATTTTAGTTAGATTTCTGTATAGCATATGTCAAACACACCTTGTTTTAAAAGCTTGTTTTAAACAAATAAGAAAACCAGAAATGAGTTTTAATTTTCCGAAATGAAAAAAGAAAATCCTTTAATATGCTGATCTAATGCAGGACAGTACTGGCATGAAGCTATGGAAGAAACGCTGGTTCGTGCTTTCTGACCTTTGCCTCTTTTATTATAGAGGTGAGTTTACCATAAACAATAGAATGTATGTTAAGTATCAGATACTCTTTTAAAGAGAAAACATTACAAATCTTTTTGCTATTTTATTATCAACAAATAGTATCAAGAAAATCTTTTCTTTATTGACATGTAATTCTGAGTAAGGCGGAGGGACAGAAGGCAATATTGTGCTTCAAGCAGATTGGTCTTAGTTTCGGTCCAGTTTCTGTAATCTGATTGTGCTGAACTTATTTGTTCTGTGTGAAGAACATGTGAGTATTCACTCTATAATGTTATCCTTGAATTCAGTGCCTAATAGATGAAAAACGTTAGTTTGATGTTTGATTCTTTTTACTTGTCAGTTTTGTCAGATCTAGCCATCAGTCTGTTAGATATCCCATTCTTCCCAGCAAATGATTTTATTGCATTAGATTAGAGACTGCTATGATGTACTAGCAAATAAGAAAAATAGCATAGAATGTATTTATTATGATCCCTTCCAGCCCTTCACATACACACACACACACACACACACACACACACACACACACACACACACACTTTTTTTTTTTAAAACAAAAAGACCTCCATGAAACATTGAGAAAGTTACAGAAGGGTTACAAACCAGGCTACTAATGTTGGTGGAGAAGAAATAAAGGTATTATTAAAGGCAGTCTTCATTTCTCTCTCTCTCTCTCTAATTTTTTTTTTCTTTTTAAAATATTTATTTATTTATTTGGGGGCGTGGCGGGTCTTAGTTGTGGCTCACAGAATTTTTCCTTGCGGCACACGGGCTCTTTGTTGTGGCGCGCGGCCTTCTCTCTCCTTGTGGCTCAGGGGCTCCAGAGCGCATGGCGACTCTGTAGCACGCGGGCTCAGTAGCCCGGCAGCACGTGGGATCTTAGTTCCCTGACCAGGGATCCAACCCGCATCCCCTGCGTTGGAAGGTGGATTCTTTACCACTGGACCACCAGGGAAGTCCATCTTTTATTTTTCTTCTTCTTCTTTTAATGTTTTCTGGTTAATAAGTTGTTGATTAATAACAGTTTTAAGTCAGAGTCTAGAGAAGTCTCTGATCATGTGCCATGTGGATCTGTTAGATACCACAAAGCTGGTACGAACAGAGAAAGGGGTGCATAGGCTGTGCTCTCCCTAGAAATCTGCTTCAGCTACAATATAAAATCGTGAATTTGGACAACCATTCCTTCTTCCCTAAAGTCTGGTTGGAAACAGTCACTAAAGAATTAGATTGTCAGTGCATGATTGCTCATTTATATACCACAGAGTACAATAGAATTTTAGAGCCTATTAGCAGTTTTAAAATTTACTTTGTGATTGTCCAGAAAAAGGTGTGACAAAATTCTGTGCTCATCTATCAAAGCAACATGTGCATATTGACCTTCAGATTTAGAAATTACTAGAATTGTATTCATCTTTTTCCCCCCACTGAATACTGTGGTTGAGAAGTACTGCTGAGTCAGAATTAACCAGACCTATAAAATTTCATTTTGTCATAGAGATGTTGGTCAGGCCGCAACTGTGGTATTATCTTTAGTTAAGTGCCAGACTTACTCTACAATTTTCCTTAAAGGTTTTCCCAGTCTTGCAGAAAGTCAGGATTTGTAACTCATACATTATTCCTAAGCTTATAATTTGTACTTTTCTCCCTTTTTCAGTACGTTTTATAGACTATTTAGAACTTTAAATAAGAACAAGAAAATGTCTGTTGCTTCTCATATAAAAATTTCTTAGTGTTAATTTGCAACAAAAAGCTCACTGAGTTCCTTGTCTTTTGCTGTTATTATTGTTCATGGAAAGGTGCTTGCTACTTGTCACCTTTATTAAAATAGAAAAACTTTTAACCTAATTTTAAAAAAGTAAAGGTGAATTCAGAAGCCATGTTGAGTATGAGATTCCATGTTATTATTAACCGTATGCATTTTACATTCAATGTATTTATTAATTTTAGTACAGTTCCCCAGACAGAAGGAATGTAAAAAAGAAGAAGATATAGAAAGGTATAACATTTAACTCACTTCCATTCTTCAGATGGTTGGAAAGAAGCATACGATACTACACTCTCACTATTTTATCAATAGGAAATGTCCGATTTTAAATAAAAACTATCAGATTTTAGTGAGATGATCATAATAGCTTGTAATTTTTGGAGTGTTTACTATTTGCTAAGAACATAACATTATGATCTTGTCCATCTCTTCCTCACAGCCACCTGATAAGGTGGCAAATCTTATTATTCCCATTCACACGAGTGGAAACTAAGGGCAGCAAGGTCCAATTGCTGGCCTGTCTCCCCAAGCAAGTCTCAAAGCCAGGGTCTGCACCCAGACACTTCTCCTAAACACCCAGATCTCGTCTTCTCTCTCTCTCTCTTTTTTTTTTTTGGCCACACTGCACAGCTTGTGGGATCTTAGTTGCCCAACCAGGGATCGAACCCTGGCCCACGACAGTGAAAGCGTGGAGCCCTAACCACTGGACCACCAGGGAATTCCCAACCTCATCTTCTCTTGTACCCTGAATACAATGGCCCCATTCATTTCTTCCGTATGTCTCAAAGCATTTAATATACTAACATACAGAACGTGCTGTCAGAATTTTTTTGACAGGTCAGTCTGTGTTTTACGGATATGGGAAATAATTCAGAGAGAGTATAAGAGCTTTGCTGTTTTTTTGCAATAGGATAGCAACCAATACCAGATGGAAGCCCAGGTTCCCACTGTTCTTTACAGTATACCAGGCATATCGTGAACACTATGATAAAGTACTGAAATTGCTCTATTCTGTAGTCAGTCTATTGATGAAGTTTACCATGGGACGCAATTCACTCAACGAATGTTTACTGAGCAGGACCTGCTTCGTTCCAGGTATTTTCAAAATAGCAGTGAAAGAAGGCTTCCATGAAGCTTGTCATCTAGAGAGGTCAGGGAGACAGTAGATAAACTCAGATAAATAAACAAGACCATGGTAAGTGTTTTTAGGAAAATAAGGTCATGATATGAAAGAAGGGCATGGGGCAAGGGCCTCTATGGACCAGGGCTCTGAGCCGATGTTTTAGGTAGCGAGATCCCAATGACAAGGAGGAGGCAGAGTGAGCAG